AATCACCCCTGGTTTTTCGTGCGTTTTTAATCTGCTGTGGAAATCACTAACCAGTCCCTCTCCTTATCCTCCTTAGACTGTATTTAAGTGATACTAGTCTTGCTGTTTTGGTCAGAGTTGACAAGTCTTTATGACTCAGGTGCTACCTTCTGTGAGAAGTCCTCCTTGCTATGCAGATCCACAGAGCCACTACATCACTGATCTGAAGCATAAAGTCAGTAATTATAAAGTGGAGACAATTTAAGCTCAATTTATTTTAAGGATCAAAGTTATCCAAGTGTTTTTCTGATTTTTTTTTTGAGTTTAAGTTCTTGAAAATAAATCAAGCATTTGTGTGTTTGGAGAAGGTGATTATGAACAATTTTTATAAATTAAACTGTTGAATACTGTGGAGGCCCAAGGGTTAAAAACCAGATTGTCAACAGAAAATAGACCTATCGGTAGCTGTCAGTGTGAACCACCGATGCACACTCTGAAGCCCAAGATGCACACCGGCAGAAGCCAGGCCATCACGCTGGAGGAAGTATCACGTCGCACATTCATCGTTCCTGCATGCCTCAAAGCAGCTGTTCTGTCAGGCACAGTGCCAGGCTACACAGAGCTCCGCCTGACCTGGTGTGGCACTTAGGATCTCTCTCAGTACCAAGAAAATCCACTGGTATAAAATCCAGATGACTTCAAAGCATTTCTAAGAATGCAGAAGCACCCTGTGCTAGGAAATCACAACTTCGGTCCCCGAGTTCCTGCATCATGTACAGACCCTTAAAACTTTTCACTCTGTTGTCTTCAAGTCTAACCTTAACTGTTCAGTGTTATGGCATCCCCTGCATTGAAACTATTTTTTTCTTAAAGCCAACTATTTTGTGTTGGCCGTTTAAACAGAACAAAGGCCACTTCAGAGAACGTTAAGTAAGTTTGAACTGTGGGTTTTTTGGAAGCATGATACCTTTTTTTTTTGGCAACTCCATGGCCTAACACTGGGGGAAGAGCAGCACAGAATGTTAAAACACCAGAAAGACTCCAAACCACAGTGTGTTGTTTGAACAGAATTAAATCTTACCGTCACAATAAAACTTGATTACACATCAAAAAACACGTGCAACCTCCTGGCTGTTCTTTACTCGTCACTGCTCAGGGTCCAATGACGTAATTCATGAAGCAGAATATTTGAAAAAGCTCAATAGTTTCCTTCCCTTCTCAGTAAAGAAATATTTCTATCCTCCCACTGCAGTTACCAGTCTAAATTCTGCCTTTACTTTGTGGCAGCCTCTGTGACAGAGCTTATCGGCTGCAGAAGAGTACAAGACCAAAGAGGCTCTTGGCCATGCCAAGCCATCTTGAAATACCAGGGCAATCAGACACCCGCTGCAGCGAACAGAGAAAGTAATTTTGAGTCCTTGGGGGCTGCAAAGAACTATCATATTCGTTGTCATTCCCTACAGTCTTTTCCACTTGTTTTCACAGCTGCCTTTGTGTTCCAGGTCTGAAGTTTCCTAAATTTGGATTTTCAGGTTCAAGTCCAGAAGATCTTTCCTGGATTTAGCACTATGGGAGAGCTAAATGGTGGTGTACAGCAGTCTGCCTGGTCATTTCTATCTATTTCTACATAAGTGAATTACTCATTTAACCAAACGTAGTGTTTTCCATGAGAATTGGCATATACTTTTCCAAGAGGGCATAAATCCTAGAAGAGTGGGGGAGTACAGTGAAGTGTGACAGTGTGTGGAAGAAAATAAAGGTATACAGAAAGAAACAGCTTATGATGTACCAAGTTGCCCAATTTCTTTCCTTCTTTTAAGTAGAGGCACTAATTAGAATATTAAAGAGGCAGTAGTAGAAGATGCAAGCCATGAACAAGTACAGAAACTAGTAACAGATTAGTAATATGAATTTACTCACCTATGAAATCTATGCTGAAAAAGCAATGATAATGGGACCTTTGATTTCAGAATTAGACTATTAAGCAAATTAGCAGGGACTGAAGCAGCAACCATGTACATTTTCCAGAACTCAGCTAGCAAAAGCCAGTTCACTACTGCAGAAACCAACCAAAAAGCCAACCAACCCCAAACTGCTTTTCACCCATTTCTCCTGCTAAGGCTTCACCCGAACACATAGCTATTCAGGATCTTCACACACATAACAGCACTTGCTCCAGGTTAAAGTAAATAAGTGATTTCATTCTGATAAATGTTGATTTGAGAGAATTCCTAGCTGAGAAGCCTTGAGCAACATTGGCAGGTGTTTCAATAGTGGCCTCTCAGAACTCCAGAGCATTGGGAGAAATGGCTGTAGACCCAAATCTCCCCTTTTCACACTGCTATGGCTCCAGTATACCACCATAATATAAAGATCTCTCCCTTCACAGCACCCTCACATCTATCATAACATGTGTCAACTGTGACAAGTTCTCCACAAGCAATACTAATTATCTAATTACTGACCTGTTTTTGAGCAACTATTTGCTAAGTTTAACTTTTTAGGAAGATTTGAGGACATCAAAACGTTTGCAATAAAGCTTAGAACAAAAATCCTTAAAAGCACCTGTTTTCAACAACGGTCTTTCATAAACTGACTTAGAAGTGAATTTGAAATCACAGAAAAGTATTTTTGGAAACAATAACGAGCCATCAAAATACATGAAAAAGAGGTCTTGCTGAACTTCCCCTTATCACAGCCCTGATCTGCACTGAGCTATACGCAGATATAGGACACATCCACATCTCCTTGTACGACACTTCAAAACAAGTCTTCTGTAGTATTGGCTTATAATATTTTGCAGAGCAGTAATTTTGTTTCAGATAGAGAGAAGTGTTTAAGACCACAATCTAAGTTTCAAAGCATATACATTTGCTGGGATGTGGGGCATGGGGAGAAGGAAGGCTATGAAGAAACATACGACTTCTAACAATGGAATGGATAAGAAAGCTGTCATTCTTAAAAAAAAAAAACACCACAAACATTTCTTAAATACTTAATTCAAGTTTTCCTTCAAATGTGTTCAGTACTTGCCTCGGTTTTGAACAGATGTTTTCATTAAAGTTTAGCATGTTTGGAAACATGTATTTCCAAACTATACTTTGTGCCTCTGATTAAATACACAATGGTATCTTTATAGGAAGATTCTACTGAAACAGCTGGAAAAACCCTGTCAGGCCTTGACACTGCAGAATGAACTTTGTTGCATAAACTACTCAGCTTATCACTAAAACATTTCAAAATAGGTCTTGCAGGAAAGAAGTGATCAAGACTGGCTGAATACTAGTTTCATGTCCTCTTCAATTCAGGAAGAAATATGAAAAAAAGCAGCTAAAAAGCCTTCTGTAGACATGGGGTTATATCAGGTCTGCTCCATACACACTATTATAGGGATTATTTAGAGGGTGTAACATCTGAACAACAGAAATAAATCTGCCAAAATCTCAAATACTGCATCTCCCCTCTACAGTTCGTAGAAGGCAAGCACCAAGCCTAGCCAAGAACAGACCAGGTTTTAGATTTTTTACCTTCTGTGTAAATAGACACTTGCATTAGACCACATGGGCAGTTGAAAAGCAAATCCACTAATATTTCTGGAGTAGGTTAGTTTGCTAATCTCAGCAGTGATTAACATAGAAACAAGTAAAATATAGTTAGCTAACTAGTAAGCCTGCATCTTAACCGAAACTCAGAACACAGTCTAGTCCTATCTAGAACAGAATAGGATACCAACCTTGTTGAGGAAGCAAGTCAGTCTGTATGGCTTTGCCACCCAACTATCTACCCCACAGCTTGACCAAAAAAACCCAAGTAAATTTTAAAACATTTTTCTTTAGAAACAAGTAAGTTGTCTTACAAAGGTAAGAAAAGGAGAGATGCCATTATACAGACTTATTAACTAAGCAAAGTGAACATGAACTAGCTAACTGAATGAATGCCCCATAGCAGACAGCTCAGTTCCAGTATCTTGCTAGTATTTTTCCCCACACATTTCTATGTAAAGTCTACTAATACATGGGTATCACAGATTAGACATTTTAGCCAGAGTCCCATTCCCTTTTCTTTTGCACACTGCATTACATGCAGGTACACTGGTGTAGAACTTGCCTTGCCTCACATTTTTATTGCTATGTCTGCAAACTCTCCTCCCCACCACTCGAGAGCTACTCCAACAAACCTCCCAAGTCTGAGAGGCAGTAGGGTTACATTCATACAAGCCTGAAGTATTTTCTGTCCATGATGTAAGTCTCAGTTTTACTTCTACCAACACTGAAGGAACATTTTCAGTTTGAAACTGTAGCAGTTGCCTCTGTAGACACAGAACCTTTGAAAAGTGAGCTGTGTATATGCATTTGTATTACATGCGAAGAATAGGCATGAACTGCAGTTACTAGCTTTTAAATCAGCACCTTTACTTTCACACAACAGAAGCAGAATTCTGAATAACTGGAGTAAAACACCTTTCCATTGAGGTGCACCATCTGCAGTTGCAGCATTAGAACACTATTTCTATTTCTGACTGCTTGTCAGTCGTTTCTCTAGGTAACTGATTTACACAGGGGTTTGCTTGCTCTTACTTAGCTTTACAGAATTAGTCAGACTGTAAGAGAACACTTAACCAAACAGATTGGCACCAAGACGACTTAAAAATCATTACACGCTGTTTTCCAGGAACAGAGTGGCCTAACTTTTTTCCTACCCTCTATACCCCTGCTTCCCCACAGCTTCCTTGCATTTAAAGAACAAGCCTTTTTTCTTTAAATTCTTTAACCTCTGCTTCAATCATCTTTCCAGAGCTCTTTGTACATTATATCAAGTAGACCAGACTTCAAGAACTGGGCCAAAAGTAAGTAGTAAGTTGCCACAGGGTATAGCACTGGCAAGTGTAAGCAGCTTGCTGTACTCCTGAAATCGATAAATCAGCACTAAAATACAAGCAACTAACTACAAATTAGTTCAGTTTATCTAGAAGTAGCTTTTTTGCATCAGCTCCCTTCACACAGAGGAAAGCAAAATCTCACCCGTGTCATTTTAAAAAAGTCTAATGACGGTCTGTTCCATCGTACATCCTCCTCCCGTCTGCGCTTTAGCCGGCTTTTCTTTTCATTCAGAACGCAAGGCTGAGAGCGGCATCTCAACAAGCCCTGACGCCGGCTGAGCTCGGGTGTGGAGGTGGGAGTGCTGTTGGCTGAAGGCAAGAGGTTTCCCGTCTCGGTGATATGCTCCTGGGAGAGGGAGAGGCGGCGCCTTGGGTTAAAGTCACAAGGGCCTCCAGAATTCCAGCGGGTACTCGAGCTTGTGCTTCCCTCGCTACTGTCCACAAACCCGCTGCTGGCAGAGGAAGGTCTGGGTACTGGTGACGTGTTGAAGCTGGTGATCGTGAAGATGTTATTTAGTGACAGTACGTTTTGTGGCAGACTGATGCTTGTGCTTCTCTGTAAGGTTGCACTTCCATGACTGTTGCAGCGTTGCAAGGTAGCGCTGCCACCACTATTACACCGTCTTTTTGACACAGGAGTCCAAACCTTTGAATTGCCAGGCTTCCACGGTGACCGACAGCGAGCCAGCTCATCTGGCTCAGAGAGGGACCGACAATGGCGTTTTGTTGGCGGTGCCAACGGCTGACTCGAGTTTTCGTTAAGGTTTAATTCACTTATCCATCCTGACACCATAGACGTACTGGAAGATTCCTGTTGCCACTGCAGACTACCATTACTGGCAGTGCCGGTGCTGAATGGGCACACTGGGAAAGGGTAAGCTGAATTCCTTGTTGTGTCAGTCTGAATAGGGCAACCCCCATTTAAAGCTTTCCAAGGGCTGTCTTCTGAAAACACAAGAAAGATACAGGTGAAAGATGCAAAGGGAAGAGACAATTTGTTGTAAACCTAATTTAATGTAAAACCATGAATCAAACTGAAGCTCAGGAAGATGAGCCACAAATACCCAGTTCTTAATCAAAATTTCATGCTATGGTTATTCATTTTCTTTCAAAGTAGAAAATTCATAAAACCCCATGAAGACCAAAGTATTTCAGGAGTCAATCCTGGCATTCCAGTATATAGAAACCTTGTTAAATGCTTCTTCCTGTATACTAGAAGAATACAGCGCTGTGTTTCTTAGCGAGCAACAGGGACTGCTTCCTTATCTGCTTTCTAGTGCGTAGCACATACTACAATTAAAACCTCTAACAGTGAGCAGCCTAAGGTACAACCAACCAAAATGGATTAACAAGTAATGTGAGAACCCACAAGGGATAGTTTTTAAATGAGAGCAGGACAATCAATTCATAGACTGCTGTCCTTCATTTGGCTGCTATGCTTTTCTATTAAGAATACCTTACTACAGAAAAGTTTCAGAGAAATGGGCGTTCACATTGTGGTGTGAAAAGCTTTCCTTTTAAAATTAGAAACAGTATAAAGTTTAATCAGACTGTGGATTGTTTCCTTTTTCACTCATATTGTAGGGAAAAAAAATCTTAATTCAATGCATAAAATAAAGTGATTATCCTTCAAGAACCTCCTGCAAGTTTTACTGTGAATACAGACATAACCCATAGTGCACAACTTCTCATCTGAAGTGGCAATGCTGGGTTAAAAGCAGTCTGCCAGCGAAGCCTCTCACTCTTTTGTAAAGCATTTCTTTGAGAACATTCTGCACATGTTACAGCTGTTCCTCCACATTATACAATGAAGTGTAAGAAGAACTACAGACTTTGGATTTGCAAATTGAAAAGCAGCAAAACTGTTGGCCAGTTAACAGTGCTTCATGCTTGGTTAGAAAATTTGCTAATTTAAACCAATTAGCCAAGTAAGTCTCACCAACCCAGCTTTAAAAGAAAGAATATATTTTTCCCTATGACTACTTTAGAAACCTAGATAAAGCCTAAACATTAAATACTTGTATATTCTTAAAGTTGGCTGTCTAAACTACATTTTAGAGTAATCAACAGATAAAAGATTTGCTGAGTAGCTTTAAAAGTTTCAAACCCAAATAGTTGTACATGTTCCATGCCCAAAGTATGTCATGGATTATCCTGTTTATTTGAATCTTATTTAAAGAACACCCTATTGTCTCAAAATCATTTAAGTGTGCAGACAGCTGGCCTATTCAAACAACATGTTTTATTAGAATTCCTCTGTCCTTCCTCCTCCATTCTTTCAGATGGGTACAACCACATACTGTGCTTTGCCTTCAGCATGTAAGCTCTTCAAGGCAGGAACCATCCATAATTCAATGCAAGTAAAATAACCAACACAATGGGATTCAGATAATGTTTGAAACTCCTAGCATCTACTGTAGGACAGTTTCCTAGCTTGGCCTGGCCTGATTTTTAAAAATCCTTAGGAAGTTTTCTCCTAGGCTGGGAGGTTGGTTTAAACTTTACTGTAAAAAAAAGTCAAGAGCCGTACATATGTTCTAATTGTTTACACAGTAATGGTATTTAAGATAAAAATACCATTTCCCTTTGAAACCTCATACAAACCAAGCTTCACATTATATGGGGAATCCCACTGAGCAAATAAAACCCCTCCATGCTTAAAAACACGACAGAACATGCAAAGTTTCAAGTCCATCCCTTAATGAAGTTTATATATCAATAATTGCCTTATTTTTGCCAGATACAATTTACTCTTATTCTTCTAGGGCCAAGTATATAATACTTGTATGAAGGCACTGGACTTCAACTTATGGTTTGCATCAAACTGGGTATTCTAAGTGGCAAAGCATGTAAGAACTTTCAGCCAGCAGAAGAACCTGCAGGGATGTTTAGCATGAAAAACAGTACTGCTGTGCTTCTGCACGCCATAGCAGATATCACACCAAAAAAAGTGTTACAGGGGCTTTTACTATGCAAAGCAGATCACAAGTACAAAACTAACAACCAGCTATTCCCAGTATTGTTCAAAGACCAGCTTAAACCAGCAGGCTCTACAACAGCATGCTCCATCCCCCTCACCTTATTTACAAAAGAAAGGCTGCTTGCTATACCAATTACCTCAGTAGAGCACAGCTAAGGTTTCTGAAGAACTTACCGTTGATTTCGAAAGGGAACAAGCTGCCACTTTTGTTCAGCTTCTCAGATGAGTACTGAAATTAATCAGAAAAGAGTTTCAACTGTGTGAAAGAACATACACCTCAAGGAAACGGCATGCAGTTTTCAGTTTCCCTATATGTGCACTTAACAGAGCCTTCAGAAGGACAGGGTTTGCCGGGCATCTTGAAGAAATTCCTGAACAGCTGATCTTTCTAAAGAAAAAGCCTCTGGCATCTAACTATTTGTAATGTTTTCTGATATGCTGCTAAGCATCACTCTTTCAGGAGTTGGAACGTCACCCCATGTGAATAAAACTGCAAAATTAAGAGTGATAATTCACCCATAATGAAAAAGCTTTGATCCAATTCTTATTTCAGTGGAGAGGAAATTAAAATCTGACAATTAAGTTTCCATTTTCAATTTTTAGGGTAAAAAAACAAACACTCCACTTTAAGAAACAGGAATAGCTTTATCCAAATTAAATACACTCTTAAGGATCCCCATAATGAATAGGGCTGAGATCAGGCTTTACTAGTACCTTACATTTTCTTAAGAATCAACAGAGCAGGTTTGTTATTTCTTAAAGTACAAAAGCCATCAAAAATATCTTTCCTATCCAAAAATCATCTATTGCAGACTGACAGTTTTTGTAATCAGTTTATTGGTGACAATTCACTACTTGGAAACAAAGTAGAAGCCATGCTTTAAACATAATTCGTGTGTAAAGGGCTTCAGAATTTACGATTAAGCTTCATCAGTAGCATCTGCACAGCAAGACAAATTTCTCTACAGAATGTTTTCCATTTTCTTAACTAATTTTACTTTGAAAAATATTACTACAAAGACTTTCTTAAAGGGTCTAGATTTATCAGACAAAGAATAGTTTGCTATCCAGCCTTCTATAGAGGAGTTATAAATAAATGGCTTAAGGCTCCATCAGAGCCCAGAGACCATTATTTATTCCCCCATCACCACCTCAGGATGGAGAGGAAGATTGCTTTAAAAAGCAAGCGACACTTTATGTGAACATTGTTTTTTGTGTATAGCAAAAGAAGATAGCATTGTACATACACTTCCTTTCCAGATACAAAGTCAATTTTAAAACAAACATCCTTGGGCTACAAAGCTTTTTTCTTGCTGTGTGTAGCAATAGACAGAGTGCTAGTGACAACTTCATGTCCTTAAGCCCCATACAAGATACAAACACTGAGCTGTGGTAATATTCCCTTGGTGTTATTGTTTAAGAAGTAGGAAATAGTGGAACAGATGAAAGGATAGGACAGCAATCAGATTTTTAATCTTATTTTTTAATCAATGTCTGCATGAGACAAGCCATTTGATTTTTCTTTTACATTTGCATCTGTAGATGCATTTATAAGTTGTTTTTAAGGAAGGCGACTTAAAGTAAACAGCAGAACTTCAAGTCTGAATCACTGTCAGATTTGCAGTTCATTAACCCTATTCAAACCATCTGAAGTCTGCAACTTGACAACAGGAGCAGTCACTTTCACTAGTTTGATTTTCATAACTGTAGTAGCCAGTTGTATAGCACACACATTTAAAAACTACTATCAGTCTTTTACTCTGAACAGCTACTAAGGTACAATATGAACACAAGAGCACATTAAGGTAACAATAATAGTTAGGTTTCAGCTGTCCCTGAAAGAGAAAATCAAATTAGACTTAAAGATTTTTTCAGCAAATTGCTCCCTCTCCAGTTTTCCCCATATGAAAGACAATACTGACCTATTCAACTATCAGATAATAACAAAGGAAAATACGTTTTTGGAACAAAATTCCATGTCAAAAAGTCTTAAAGCAAACATATCCTGAACCACAAGGAAAAGGGGAATAAGAATGATTCAATCATAACATAATGATCAGGGATGTTTAAAAGACCTCACACAGGCTAAGGTCTTGCTGAGAAGGAACAGAACCTCAAGAACAATCCCATGTGGCAATTATTAGATTGATATTTAGTTTTTACAAGTAGTTTTCAGCCAAATGCCTCTTAACAAGGTCCTCTTCATGAATGCCTGACTTAATTACCTGCACTTTAACCACCTTAAAAAGCATGGTCCATCAAGTAGGGACTAAACTACTACATCTGACAGCTGCAAAGCACTGAAAGCATTTTTCAAAGGGGGGCATGGAAAAAGTGGGATCACATACACGGAGTATCTGTACTACAGAGAACGACTGCAATGTTCTCTAACTCAGACAGCAACCCAGCCCTTATAGCTATTTCTGATCAGCTTGTAGTGAAGTCAGTGCTCAGTTCTATGAGAAAGCAGACAGACAACTACAACTTGTTTTCCTAAGGAATCATTTATACAGAATTGTGTTAAATTACTCAAAAGACGCAATTCTTTTGAGACTGAGACCAAAAACCCTTATTAATAATGTCACACGTGACATTAAAAAGGGACAGTAAGCTGCACCATTTCCAGTAAAAGCTCAAGGCACTGAGGTAAGGGATGACAGAGGAGAGTAAGTAAAGAATCTCCTTTTAATATATACTTGGCTTTCTGTAACTGAAACTAAAAATACTTGGAAACACTATCTGGTAGCATATTTTAATGATGTTGGGAAGCCCAAACTTGAGCTGACTATCAGGCTGTAAATTGTTTATAGGAGAGAGGATCTTTTCATCTATACAGCACATGGCAGAATTCCCACTAACGATTATTGTTATTACTGTAAAAGGGCACTGAACCAGTTTATCAGCTCTCCTGGGTTGGCTATACTCTGCCCACCCACCCCCACCCCCCTCGCACCTTCATTCCCCTTGTGCTAGGATCTGCCTGAAGTTTCCTGAATTAAGAGCTCTTATAATCATGCTCAAGAAGAGACTGCAATTGCCAAGAACACTGACAGGGAAGTCTGTCAGTGGGGGGAAAAGCCACAATAAGGAAAACAAAAAAGTAAAACTAGAAGTTTCACTTCAGGTTGGAATTGTCTGCTTCATTCATGACAGTGGGTCTGCTTTGAAAGTCTTGTTCAGAAGTAAAACTTTTGTGCATTTGGAGAAACTATTCTCAAAAGGAAGGGAGTTGCATGGTATGACATTTAGGACAGCACTGCAAGTTGAAATTGGTTTACCAAGTCTTAGCAGCTGTTCTTCCGTTAAAATATTCACTTAAGATGACACCTAGTCTTGAACTAGGTAAATGGAGAGGCACACAAGTGAGACTGACAATGAATTATAATTTACATCACTAATTTAATAAGTGTTCTTTTCTAGCAAAACCCCAACTGTAACAAAAATAGTTCCAGCTACATACGCTCCAATCTACTACAGTAAGAACTTCACCACCTGTGCTATCCTCCTCATTATTCTCCGAAAGACTTCTTGATCCTAATCATTTTAAAACTAACTTCCTTAGTTTCAAGACCTTTTCTCCAATTTCCAAGTATATTTGATTTCCTCCAATTTATCAGCATTCTTTCCAAACCACAGGAAAGCCAGCATTTATTATTCAAGTACAGATTTAACTACCACCATACAGGTATGACTTTCATTGTTTGAACAGGCCATGCTATGCCTCCATGTCAACTAAATACCCTCCAAATATGACTAGATAGGAAGTAGTGAGAAGCATCTGACCTTTTCTCAGAAGATGAAATAGTCAAGTCACATCTCAGACACAGCCCTCAAGTCTTTTGGCTAGTGGCATTCCACCCAAGGAAGTCAGACTATTTCTAAGTCTTTCAACACAAGTCAGCTTCATAAAAACTTAAAATAATGAAACCCCGTATGTACGTAAGGGATTTATGGCAGAGCTTCTTCCTTCCACGAACACCTGTCTGCAGATGCTGACATTTCCTTCTTAATACCACACCTTAAAGTCTTACAACCCACACTTACTTCAAACACCAATACTAGCTTCTACATGAATACCAAAAAAGTACAAGCTTAGCCAAGACACACAGAAAAACCCTCAAGACTTTAAGTTTCAAAAGATCTATGTTCAAGGAAACAAAGACCAAGTATTTGATTTAATGACACTATCAGCTCATGAAAGTCATAACATTTGCAGACCATCTCACTGTTGTCAGGTGGAGTCAAGCAACCAGGGATACAATTCTACCTTGTGAGCTACCGCGCTCAACTGAGATAAATAAAAGCTTAGAACAACCTTCCTGCTTCTATAGCACAAAACCAAACCGTTTGAGTTTTTTTCCTGAAGGCAGGTGCAGCACAAATAACTGAGCATGCACTAGCAAAATAAGTTACACCAGCTTGGAAAATTAGCATGTCACTTCACAAGTAGCAACAGAAGCTACAGCCAGTATTTTACAACCCACTCAGGCAACAGGTGAAGTACTTGGTCATCATAGAGGTTACACAAATGAAAAACCCTATTATGTCCTATCCATGTTTTTTTTTTTAATGCCCAGCTTGGTTAGCTGGAAGATAAAGGGCTTTGAAAGAACTATTCTTTGTTATAGCTCTCATTTATGAGTTGTTTTACAGAACAGCTTTTCCACAGCTATTCTACCTACTTGTGCTAAGACAAGCGCTTGCACCAACACATTGTGGAAGGGATCATGACACTGATAAGGGTTAACATTATCCCGTGCAAAAAAGGTTAGTCTCAATGAGCTCACATGGTCCCACAGAACTTTGTGCCAGCACAAGTAATGAAAGGTGTGGCCAGCCCACTTCAGAATTGCTCTAAGTTGTTGCTGCTGTAAGAAGAAACTACAGCATACACCTGAATGACTTACAAGACCCCCACTAGCAGTCTTACTGAAATTAAAATTTGACTAGTGTAGAAGTGTACCTTCTATTATCTTAGGTTCACATTTTAGTTAAAGCCATCACTTGCTCACATAAATTTTTCAGTAGGGAGCAACCTAGTTGCACACTTTTATTCACACTTGCTTCTGAATTTCCACACTTCACTTCATGATTTCTACGCTTTCCCAAGCTGCCATTGTGTACAGACAAAACCTGTCCCTGGCCTCAGAACTCATTTTCACCAAGAACTAAAGCATCTACAAAACCAATCACTTGATAGATTAAAGAGGGGAGAAAAGCAGACAGAGAGGTGTGGATGAAGCCACTGATGAGATGATAGCTGCCATTTTCCATTCCACTCCATTCTTTTCCCTGCTTTACCTTAATACAGATAAGGCCAGGAATAAAAACCAAGCAACCCACAATGCATTACAGCATGCCAGCACAATCCTGTGTAGACTCCACACAGTATTAAAGCAGTAATACATCCTTCTCTCCTCTTACAAGTCTCTGGTGCAAAACTTAGGAGTGACTATCCATAAAAAGACAGCTCAGTTTGCAAATTTATGCAAACCTGCCTCAAAACCTAGAAATTACACATTTAGGCAAGCACTGCTACTGGTTACAGGTCATCATTAGCTCACACCTAGGGACAGTGTTTAGTACATCATGAGTTTGCCTGTTAGTAAATGTCCCTACACATCACATATCCCAAGTGCTTCATCGAGCTAGCTGAGACAAATGCAAGATCAGTAAGCACTTTTAAGACTTAGCATCATTCCAAGACCTTATATATGCCTTTCATAGCACATATTTAATGTGAAGATAGTAAAAACATGGGAGTTACTAGGAGAACCCTAAATGGACCTGTTACAGTTTTTAAACCATTTGATTCAAGTCTAATAGTAGACACCCTTATTAGACAGAGCATCATGCACTTCATGTATGAGAATTATAGGTGTTTGTGCACAAACTCCACCACATTCAGGGTATGCTTCACCTGGCTTGTGGATTAAAAATAAGAAAGCAGTTAAGCCTCCTATGTACCACAGAGGCAGAATCTTACTTTTAAAGTAATTGAACATGCTGCAGGTACAATGATTGTACTATTTACTATTAAAAAAATTAACAGAACTAGAGTTGAACTATACTTTTGACATTCAGTCAAACTAATTTTTTGGTGTCCCATTGGTCCCAAAAAAGTCTGATCCGCATACAGGTGCCACCACAAAGCCAGTGAAACCAAGCTAGTGCATTACATGTAGAATATGGTCTCGGGGTTCTCAGATGGGGACCCAAAATTGATGGGAGATTATTTGTATTAACACCGAGTACAGATAACACCTCACTTTCACAAGTGAGATGTGAAGAGAATAGATTCCTTAGTGTTTGTATAGCATGCTTGAACCTCACCAGATCCACAGATTAAACCAGAAGAAAGTAACCCAGTAAATACTACACTTTTCAGAGCACCAGGCATCTGACAATGATAAAGCAAGGATCTACTAGCATCAACAAGTCTGGTAGTCAGTAACCTGACTTGCAGTTCAACTATATTTACCTGATGACCTGTTCTGCTTCTGCCCAGTGCTGCTGGTTACCTACACAGTGGTCACTTATTGTAAGTAAATACTGTCACCAAATACCAAGCACTTGGCTACATGAAGAAAAACTTCACATACCACAGGAAGTTTTGTTAGGGAGAAAGGAAACCTTAGAAGTTTTGATAATTCTTTTCAGTTGTTAGAACACCCGGTTTTGTGAGGAGAACAGGATTTTGTTAACTATTTAAAATTAATCTGCAAGGTTAGAAAGATCATTAAACTAAGAAAGCATCATTTCAAAAAGGACCAAGCACTGAAGTATCATATTTTCCCCTTACAACTCTCATCCACCTTGCAAACCAGTCCCAACTTAAGAGGCTGAATTCTGCCTGATCTACATGCTTGAATTTGTTACGTAGTTTTGCATTACTTTTAATCTACTTTGCATTTCACATTTACATGCTATTTTGTTAGATCCTTACCAGATTAATATTGTATGTTTTACATGTCAGATCATCCAAGCTCTGGTTCTGCAGCTTTTCTGTTATTAGTGTTACCATGGTAGTTGTTCCTTTTCCACTGCTCACACTGAAGTGTTGGAGGCTCTTCGGTCTCTTGTTTCAATACTCGTGAGCCATTTCTGTTTTGTTTTAAAGTCTTGAGATTTATGCTTCCATCATATTTCCAATGTTTATTTCCAAATGTTGTCAGTGTATCATGTCTTATTTTCTGTAAAACTGAGACAGAGAAAGAAAGAAGTCAGAAAAATTCTTGTGTAAATCATAGTGTCATAACAACAGGACTCATGTTCAGACCATTTGTTTGGGCAAGTATACCACTCTGACCAGTGCTATTGCCCAGCATTTCAAATTACAATGCCTGCATTCACAAGAGAACACTCCTACTGAGATTTCATTGATCACAACTTCAGAAGGGAAGCAATACTCATACACAGTAAAACCCAGGAAATTATTTTCCTGTTTCCTACTACTAAACTGATCCTACCTCAAATTTTTATCCAAGGGAGAAAGAAAACAACTTAAGCTTTCCCTCATTTAAACTACTACTGAAGCCTTAGCCAGGTGTGCTAGAACAGCGTATGAGACATGCAGATACCACACTGTTCTGTATGTTGAACACTCTTTGCCATTTTCAGACATTCTACCATATTGTTTCATCACCAAACCTTTCTTAAAAGCAGAGTGGAGCACTGGGTAGCTCAAATGCTATATCCACTTTCCAAACCCTCAGCTACTTTTAATATATTCCCTGTTTTTTTCCTTTTTTAAAGGCTACGTAATTGCAACCTGTCAGCATACACCAGATCTTAAACTTGTAAGCAGGACAGATTACCACACACAGAAAAGCATCGCTGACAAAAGCTTACATACCTTTATTCTGTGAGCAGTCATCTAAATCAAAAACACTAGGTTTCACTCTCTGCCTCTTTCTACTTTAAACATCCTCTATATGCTTTCTTCCCCTCTCTTCCCACAGCATAACCCTTAAAAATGCTGCACTCACTGTCTTCCAATAGTCTTTATTAGCTGTTGTTTTACCACTGCAAATGGACCTCTGCACTTGCCACAATTCTATTCTCATTCTTCCAGTTCTCAAGAAGAACCAGGATAAAAACCACAGGCCTTCAGCATCTTCATTTTCCTCTAAGTCTTTCAGGCTCACCACACTTCTCCAATTCACTTTCAGTTTTCAAAACCAAGACTACATCAGCATTAATTGTAATGTCTTCACACTACATTCAAACTCTTCTTCCCATAACTTTGCCTTACTGTGTTAACAAAAACCTCTTTTCTCAGGTCATGCTGATGATCCATTAGTGACAAAAGCAAGAATGGTTAATGCTTATGTCAGTCAAGTGTATTCAGTGACTGCTAATGGAATTAAAAAAAGGGAAGAGATCCATACAAAGGTATTTCCTAATTTAAACAAAGCAACATGAGCCTTGGGGAAGGAACACTGCTGCTGCTAGGACCAGAAGTTTACTTCCATTTGGTAGGTTTTGAAGTTCACAGTAAAAAGGAGTAACAGAAAATGATTTGAAGTAAATGTTTCCACTGAATAATGCCTTTTTTCCACACTGTTACTTATCAGCTGTTTAAATAACCAGTAGTAGCAAGAAAGCCACCGGAGTCCTTGACCCCAGTTAAACCCTTTCAGAATGTATTAATAGCATTAATGGTAATTTTTGATTATCTTTCAAACTTGTTGTCTGAGTACATCCCCAAATGTGATTTTCCAGTGCTAACTATACACTTTCACCTTCACAGAAGTCTGCTATGTAACAGCATCTTCAGAATCATAAAACCATCACAGAATGGTTTGGGTTGGAAGGGACCTTAAAGATCACCCAGTTCCAACCCCCCTGCCATGGGCAGGGTCACCTTCCACTAGACCAGGTTGCTCAAAGCCCAAACCAGCCTGAGGGTCTTCCCACAATCATAATTTCTGCCCATCTTTTGACCTCATTCTCATACCTACTTATATTTGTTGTAAGATAATATGCTTACAAATGCTCTTCAACCATACATAGTGCTACCAAGCTATCGGGAGATTCCACTGGTCAGATTTTACTGAATGCATCTTTTCTTTCAGGAAAGCACCCAACAACTTGAAATATTTACCGCACCTTGTTCTGAAGTTGCACCAAGTCAAATATAAACACACCCAAGTTCATACACTCACTAATAAAAGCTGCATATAACCTTTTCAATGTAAACATCTGCCAAAGCAAAGTGTATTTCATGAAATGCTATGCAAGTTTAAGGGAAAGTGTGTGAAGAGACCTACTCAGAGCAGTATGATCAAACATTGTAAATTTTAAACTATATCTGAAAACTCAGAGCAGGAGTCAAAATAAAGGCTGACTGGGGGTCAGAAGTTGTCCTTATACAGACTGAAAACATACTGAAGCTGAGGAGCTTAGAAACTGGCACAAAGACTTTCAGATTCATTTTAAGGATTAAGATTTCCACAACCCAGAGGCTACTACAGAGCAGTATGATCAAACATTGTAAATTTTAAACTATATCTGAAAACTCAGAGCAGGAGTCAAAATAAAGGCTGACTGGGGGTCAGAAGTTGTCCTTATACAGACTGAAAACATACTGAAGCTGAGGAGCTTAGAAACTGGCACAAAGACTTTCAGATTCATTTTAAGGATTAAGATTTCCACAACCCAGAGGCTACTATTAAGAACCTAGCAGGTGCTTAATTACTTTTCTGTTTGGAAGGGCCATATAAGAAGTGTGAGGGTTTTTTTCCAAGGAAAAAACCAAATCCAATAAATCTACCAAAGACAGAAGAGGGACAAGGTTTTGATCTGTAACCAGTTAACTACAATGTAGTTACACTTTGCTTAGTCCTTCTAATCTTCAAGTGCTTCACTGAAATTTTAAGTCAGCATAATACAAGCTAGAATAAGGAGAGAACAGACAGAAGGACATTAGTCTTTAGTTAATGAACCAATACATTCAGTTGCAAGTAAGGATAAAGGGGAGGCAAATGAAATCACAGAAGCATTGCACTTGCAGAATCGAGTTGAATTGTACAATTATCCACATCCTTAAATCCTACCAGATATTGAAAGCAATACTTAAGAGTTGCAGGCATTCAGGCCCAATCAAGTCTGAAACACAAAGTTAAGTTCAAAACAAGTTTCTCGTTTTAGCAACTCTTACCAACAATTTTTTTTTTTTTGAGACACACTCCATTGAGAGACATTAAGCATGTATTTAACGGCTATGTGGGACAGGGGTGAAAAAGTGATGTTAGCCAGACTAGCCTTCCCATGAGCTCCCCTCCATCAGGAAATTCCATTTCTCAATACCAAGCAAAAGCCCTAAGTGTATGAGTTTTAGTTCAGATCAGAAGCATGCTTTGGAAGTGAATTCTCTCCTCAGCCTTCTTTAACATGCTTTATCTTATATCATGGACCAGTCTTGCCCATAAGTAGCCCACTCAAAGCCTGAAGGTGCACAGCACACTGCACTAGCCTAACACTGCGCTAAAGAGAGCCAGCAGACAAGGCACACATGGGTTTACACTGCAAATCTGTCCTACGGGGCAGTCCTTCTTGCTAATGACACCATAATGAATGCCTAAGTGGAAAAAAATCATCGCACCCCTACCAGTGAAAGCTATTCTAGACTGCAGTTTGATGTACCTTAGCTGCTATCACAACTGCCAACACGTTTTCTTCTACATCTATTTGTAGCCCACGGCAGTAAGTGAGCATAAGTGTATTCACTACTACACAGAGAACTGGATCAAGGAATTTTTATAGTTGGATAAAGTCAAAACACTCCCTTTCGTTTCTGGTAAAGGTTGTTTTCCAGCTGGATCAGTTCTCCAGTCTAGTTTACCATGAACTGGACACAAATGCTTGTTTGGGCATACTATGGGATGCCGATGCTGCTTATCAAGGTGCCTGTCCAACTACAGTCAGAACAAAAGCCACACACAAAAATCAGTTGACATTAGCATTTCCCACACCGAGTCAGGCAGATTCTCCTAGAATTAGAAATTCTGTGTTCCCTTCCAAAACATGGTTTGAACATGTGTTGCTCCTGTTTTCCTTTTCCAATTCACACTCCTTCAACTAGTCGAACATACCAGCCCAAAGTGATCTGAAATTAGCCCGGCAGCCTCAGCACCTTGACTCAGAGCAACCCAAGTCCTGGTTCACGCTAGTTGAGCTAGTTATACCCTACCAGGAATTGTTTCCCTCATCTTTGCTAATTAATACTGGCTGCTAGGAGGCAGAAAGTTCTGAAGAGTCAGTCTAGCTTTGCTTACTGTTGCCATTTTACAACTTCACCAACATATGTATTTGCAAGCCTTACAAGATTTGGGCCCTGAACACCTATTAGAAGGAAGTTCCTTACAATACAAAAAACTCTTCATTGTATTTTCACATTTTGGGAGTTTTTGGGTTTGTTTCAAGATCCTCTGCTGTGGTATGATATACCCACAGAGATGGTAAGCTATTTTATGCACTTTTTCCACTATGCTCTTTATCTAAAGCTCGTTAAAGGCAGCTCACTTTCTTTTTCAGCTTCTCCTTATCATGTCTTTTATGCTTACCAGGCTGAATCCTTCTCAAACCTGCCTGGTACTTCAAAGTAATTGGATTTTCAGTAGCAGGTACCATTTGACCATCTTTGTCTGCTGAATTTCTTCAGCTGCCTCACAGCTTAGATCTTCACAGATCAGCTTCTGCCTACCACCGCAAGCACATGCCCTGCTTTCTACACAGCCTGTAAGCATACCCAAAGATACACCCCTCTGTTGTCACCAAGTCTCTACAGGTAGCAGCTGAGCCAGGCAAGCCAGTTCAAGCATTAAGATCCTCCAAGCCTTGAGATAATAACCGCAGCCCTTGGAGCTCCAAGCTGGATGAAGTCCTACAAATTATGGCCATCCTTCCCTTAGCTCACCATCCTCGAGGGAGCCTGGTTAGGTAAAATAGTGAGAAAGCTGAGCCACCCAAATTAAACACAACTAACTAAAGATGTTAGTCTGTGTCCTGCAACAGATTCAATCTTTCTAGGATCTCCTTAAGCTGGGAAAGAAGAGAAGCTATTTTTAATCACTGAAAGGTAGACTAATGAAAAGGAATAAAAAAGTTGGCATATAAAAACCAAACTCCAAACACAAGCCAAAGCTAACACTCCTTACAGTTGGGAGAATGAGCTATGATGGAATCAGTATCACCATTATCTCTGGT